ACGCAGCTGCCGCGCCGTTTAAGGGGCGCTGCTTCGCTTGCAATAGGCCGGGCCCTCGTAAGAGTGAGTGCCCAGAGGAGCTGAGGCGCCGCGGAGCAGAGCAGGGGAGGGAGTCTCTAAGGCAGGGAAACGCCAGCAGTCAGTAGGAATCGGGCCAACTACTGACGAGACTGCCTGCTCGCCCAACCACACCGACCCTCACCGAGTCACAGTACCGATTCACGCTATCGATCGGGCTCGGATGAATAAGGAGGGTACAGCGACGGATTGCCCAGTAGTGATTCACGGAAAAATACAGGGAGCAGCAGTGAAGATTTTTATCGACGGAGGCGCAAGTCACAGCTTAGTTAATACCGCGACCGCACGAAAACTACAACTGACACTGAGTCGGTGTTTACCGGAGATAGACGCACGCTTAGTTGACGGCACACCACTGGCCATACGGGAAAAAGTGGAGAGAGTAAAGGTCCGCTGCGGGGGGAACTTCGGTTTTACACAGGAAATGCTCGCGACGACACTGGATGGACACGACATTTTACTGGGACGTGATTGGTTGCGACGCTATAACCCGCGAATTGACTGGACGACGGGTAGCTGCACTGTGCGAAGTAGCGGTAACTGGGTGTCGCTACCACGCTGGCAGTCGCCCGAGTCTTCAACGGTCCATGTCAACGCCATCACGATGAAACGGGCTGTCGTCGCTGGAGCTGACGTGTACGCAGTGGATATAGCGTTGATAGGAGAAGCAGAGCAGCCGAGTGATTTTCAGAAACTGCTGACAGCGGTACCGCCCGAACTGCAGGAGCTATTGAAACGGTACCCGGGGATTTTTCCCGACGACTTACCGGAGGGACTGCCACCTCAGTGAGCACACGACCACCGCATAGAGTTAGAACCCGGGGCACAACCAACCGTACAGCGACAGTTCAGACTGACACAGCCCGAGCTCGATGAGCTGAGGAAGCAGTTAGACTACCTGTTAGAGAAAAAATTCATCCGACCGAGCTCGTCACCATTCGCCGCACCGATACTGTTCACACCGAAAAAAGACGGAGGGTTTCGCATGTGCATCGATTACAGAGCACTGAACCAGGTAACAGTCAAGTCGCGATACCCCATTCCCCGCGCTGACGAACTGATCGACCAGCTGCGAACAGCACGGGTTTTTTCGAAATTAGATTTACGGGGAGGTTACCATCAGATTCGGGTCGAACCATCAGACTGCGCCAAGACAGTATTTAGGACTAGGTACGGGTCATTCGAGTACACCGTGATGCCATTCGGGTTGACCAACGCACCGGCAACATTCCAGATGACCATGGACGAGGCGTTTAGGCCACTTTTAGATAAATGCGTGATAGTTTACCTCGACGACATCCTAGTCTACAGTCGTGATAAGCAGCAGCATTTAGCAGATCTGGAAGCAGTGTTTAAAGTTTTAGACGAGCACAGACTACTGACCAAGGGTTCCAAGTGCGAGTTTTTTCAGGACAGGTTAGAATTTTTAGGACACGTTATTTCGGAGGCTGGGGTTGAAATCGACCCAAAGAAGCTGGACACGGTCAAAGCGTGGCACCCCCCGACAAATATCACGGAGCTGCAGAGTTTTTTAGGGTTCGTTAATTACGTGCGTCGGTTCGTCCCCGACATGGCGCAATTGACAGCCCCACTGACGGATCTGCTGCGGAAGGGGGTCCCTTTTACGTGGGGGGAGAAAGAGCATGCTGCCTTCTCTGCCCTGAAAATTGTTCTCTGTTCACCGCCCGTACTGCGCATCGCTGACCCACACCGCCCCTTCGAAGTCGTAACCGACGCAAGCGACATCGCCATTGGAGCCGTACTGCTACAGGATTTCGGCAACGGCCTACAGCCCATCGCCTACGAGTCACGAAAGCTTCATCCGCCCGATACACGACCGCGAAATGCTCGCAATCGTGCATGCGTTCAAGGTCTGGCGCTGTTACTTGACCGGCGCAGACGTGACAGTACGGACAGACCACCAATCCCTACAGTACCTCCGCGCACAGCCCCACCTCAACCCACGACAGATCCGCTGGCTCGATTTCCTCGAGTCAAATTTCCACTACACAGTCACCTACAAAAAGGGAGCATCCAACATCGCTGACGCACTGACCCGCCCCACTGCCCAAATCCACGCGATACTACTCGCCCAGACCAGCCCGCTACTGACAGGACTATTTACCCACGGGTACCAAACGGACCCATTCTTCACAGGAGGAAATTCGCAGCAGTTCGCAGCAGCCAAGGGAGTCTATTACGTAAAAGCCGGGACCGACCGCATCTGGGTACCAGGGTACACACTGCTACGGGAATTACTGTTACAGGAGGCACACGACGGAGTTACCTCGGGACATTTCGGGGTAGAGAAAACACGGCAGCAGCTGCAGCGGTATTACTATTGGCCCGAGATGCTGACCGACGTGCAACGACACGTGGCATCGTGTCCCACCTGCCAGCTCATGAAGTCGTCACGACAACGACCGGCAGGACAGTTGCAGCCGATACCACCCCCAGAGCGTGCTTGGCAGCAGGTGACGATGGACTTCGTCACGGGGTTACCGGCTGGAGCAAGTGGGAACGACGCGATCTTGGTCGTCGTCGATCGGCTGACGAAAATGGCACACTTCGCAGCATGCAAGAAATCAATCACAGCCGAAGAAACAGCTCGCCTCTTCATCGCCACCATCGTTCGATTACACGGGATACCAGCAGCAATCATCAGCGACCGCGACACGAAATTCACCAGCAACTTCTGGCGGAACCTGTGGCAGCAGTTCGGCACGCGACTGCAGTTCAGCTCATCATACCACCCCGAAACCGACGGACAGACAGAACGGACAAATCAGACCATGGAACAGCTCATCTGGGCCACGTGCGACGACCCGACCACGTGGGAACAGCAACTGCCACTCATCGAAATCGCATACAACAACTCGCCATCCGCCACGACCCAACAGTCACCGTTTTACCTGAACTACGGACAAGACCCCACAGTACCCATGACCCCGAATCCCGACAACCCAGTCCCACGCGCGCAACAGTTCGCAGAAATACTGCAAGCAGCACGGACCCGAGCAGCTGAAGCAATAAAAAATCAAACATCATCGCTAAACGAAACGCTGACCGCCACCGCCGACCTGCCACTTACCAGCCAGACGACCTAGTTCTACTTGACACTCAAAACCTCCGCCTGCCCATCACCCCAAAACTCCGCCCCCGATATTGCGGGCCATTTCGCATCAGCCACATGATCACACCCGTCACCGCCCATCTCCTCCTCCCCGCTGACTGGTACGTCAGCCCGTCATTCCACGTCAGCCTGCTTCGCCCATACGTGCCATCCACCAGCCAACTGCCTCGCAACCGCCCCGCCAGCATGACACGACCGCCGACTGAGCCAATCATCACGCCTGAGAAAATACTAAGCCATCGAGTACGTGACCCAAGGGGAGCCCGCAGAATCGAATTCCTGATCCGCTGGAAAGACCGCACGCCCACCGAAGACAACTGGGTCCCCTTGGATAGAATTGAGAATCACCCTGTCCTCACTGAGTATCTGCGCAGCCGAAACTTCCGAGATGTACACGCGCTCTCGTAAGAGGGGCCTCCTTGGGGAGGGGGGTAGTGTAAGGAAAATTCCTTTTCCTTACTTCGCGTCCCTGCTTACCGCGTACATAACCGTTCCCGCCATCAGCACCCATCCATGCACGTTACCCGTTCACGACACTCGCCTCGACCACGACTCCCGCCACTGTTCACGACGCGACCCAACCTAACGGTTCGGTTGGTAACCCGCGCTCCGGACCTCCGCCTCGACAATTCTCCAAACCTCGGCGCTAGGCCCGTAGCGCACCTCAATTTCCCACTTTACCGTTACCACGGTAGTTTCGCTATATATTCTTCGCTCATGCCTTCGCTCATTGTACTCTTGCTTCGATAGTGCAAGGCTCGCTCGTTCACTCAATTGCACTCGTAACAATAGCTCACGTAGGATACCTGAAAGAATGTCACAATTGTGGGCATGTTTTGGGGGCCAAGAATTTTGTGACGTCCTCTCGCAACTGAACCTGGAAACCGGAATTCCCATCACGGAAGCCGAGCCGCTCCTCCTCTTCTTCATCGCGTTCACCGTGCTCGGCGCGATCGGCGGGCTGGGCGACCGCGGGCGATTCGTCGACGATGAGGCGCCTGCGGGTCCGCCGGTGAAGCCCGGCAGTTTCAAGGCCGCGCTCGGACTGCGCGAGGACGGGCCCCTGTTCGGGTTTACCAAGGCGAACGAGCTCTTCGTGGGGTGCATGGCTCAATTAGGGTTTGCCGCGAGCTTGGTTGGCGAGGTTATTACTGGGAGAGGTGCGCTGGCGCAGCTGAATATCGAAACAGGGTTGCCGATTTTTGAGTTGGAGCCGCTGCTGCTGGCGAGTATTATGTTCTTCTTTGTGGCGGCTATCAACCCCGGTACAGGAAAGTTCATCAATGATGACGAGTAGGGTTGTAGCACCTGTAAATAGTCTACCATAAATTCTGGTTTTCCCTGTATACATGCAAATGTATGAGAGTTGTGACATTTGCTACCGTACCTCAGCTTTTGAACATGGGACTCCTGCTTCTGGGCATTGTGGATACGTTGACACGAATGCCTGCACCTACTCACTCAGTGGTCATGAGGTATGATGCGCTGTTTGTTAGTAGCTTGCACTTGATTGTGAATTAAATGACATCATAATTCATAACTACTACATTACAGGCTTCTACACAAAATGTCCACAAACATACCCACAAACAAGGAAAGTGATGAAACAACAAACAACAATCTGCTTGTGCTTTGTAAAACCGAATAATCAGTTCATAAACCTTCACAAACAAGGAAAGTGATGATAACATATTACTAATATTTCAGTACAAGTTGGCTAGCCATGGATGCTCTTCCAGTGTAATGCTGGATCTCAGCCTGTTGTGGGCATTGGAAGACAAGGCCAAGGTCAAAGCAGCAAGCCATTGAAGGCAGAGTTAGAGGAAGGATAGGGGAAAACGCGGAGGGGGAGAAGGGAGGCGGGGGGAAGGGCAGGGGGTTGTGGGTGGGGGAGGGTTGCATTGCATGCATCATCCCATCTCCCAGTGCCTCCCTCTCTCGACACACCAAGGCGCTCCTTTGGTAGTCACCCTTCCCTGATAAACCCCTTCAGTGACAGTGGGGTCATGGCCACTTTTTCCTGACCCAGTGCTGCCCGCATGACAGCGTCCGCCTCAAAGGCTGCCAGCAATGCCTATGCCTCCAGGCACACCTTCGGTAGCCGCCCTGGCCCAAAGCAACCTCCCCCAAAACACCCTCCTCTGAAACACCCTCCCCTGTAACACCCTCCCCAGGTCTCACCTTGCGCACGGCCACAATCGCCTGTACCATGGCCTCCCCCAGTGCTGCCCGCAGGACAGTGTCCGCCTCAAAGGCTGCTAGTGAGTCCTCCAGACATGCGGGCAGGCGGGGAGGCGCAGAGTCGGGCGGAAGGTCAGCTGGATTGACGTCTGGAGGAGTGGAGGGGAATGGTGGGGGTGGTAAGAGGTGGGGGCCGAGGAATGATGGGGTTTATCCACTCGTCCAGGCATGCAGGCAGGAGGGGAGGCACACATTCAGGCGGAAGGTCAGCCGGGTTCACGCGTCTGGAGGGGTGGAGGGGAATGGCAGGGGTGATAAGAGGTAGGGGGGGAGAAATGATGGGGTTAATCACTCTTCCAGGCATGTGGGCAGGCGGGGGTGCAGAGTCGGGCGGAAGGTCAGCTGGGTGAACGTCTGGAGGGGTGGTGGGGAACGGAAGGGGTGGTAAGAGTTGGGGATGAGGGACTGGGGATGGGGTACTTGTTCAGGCACTCTGGAATGAGGGACAGGGAAAGAAGGAGGGTGGGCCACAGAGCGATGAATCACAATGAGGTTATGACTGGTACCAGATGCGGCTGCAGATGCATGTCATGTCATGCGTCACATTTATAATATGCATTGCATACATTTGCGGTATGCACATGCATCACACGCACCACATCCATCACACACACCACATGCATCACATGCGTCACATGCATTACATAACCATGGGATAACACCCCCACTCCCAGCCCCCCTTCCCCTCCCCTTCCCCCACACACCATGGGCACGTACCAACAGGTTCTGGCAGCGGCATCTGCTTCTCGAGCCCATCCATGCCGGCAGCAATGATGGCTGCAATGCTAGCACCAGGTGCAGCTGAATGCCCCCGTTACACGCCCCCACTCCACATACCCAAGGGATCACACACACAACCCCACACTCCTGGGACGTACCGATGGGTTCTGGCAGCGGCATCTTCTTCTCGAGCCCATCCATGCCTGCAGCAATGATAGCAGCCAGCACCAGGTGCGGCTGAATGCACAGATCACATGCCTTCACATACACAAGCAAGGACACGTACCAACAGGTTCTAGCAACGGCATCTTCTTCTCGAGCCCATCCATGCCCGCAGCAACGATGGACGCAATGCTAGCACCAGGTGCAGCTGGATGCAGGGATCAACACCTACACTTCCACACCAAGGGCCACGTACCAGCAGGTTCTGGCAGCTGCAGCTTCTTCTCAAGCCCATCCATGCCAGCAGCAATGATGGCCGCCAGTACCAGGTGCGGCTGGGCGCATGCATCACACGCCTTCACCTCAAAGTTGGTCACTGGGAACGCTGCCACCACGCCAGCAGCAACGGCTGTGCCGTTGGCAGTGTCGGTGGGAGGAGCAGCCACTCTCACAGCCGCCTCGCGGTTCTCATGCCCCCAGCACTGGAAGGCACCTGTCCACTTGTTGGGGCCTAAACGCTCGTAGCTGCGAGGGGATAGGAGGTGAGAAGATGGGGAATAAGGAGTAAGCACGTGACAGCCGCTTCGCGGTTCTCATGCCCCCAGCACTGGAAGGCGCCTGTCCACTTGTTGGGGCCCAGACGCTCGTAGCTGTGTGCAACACAGCAATCAGGATTCAAAAAGCACCGTAAGGGAAGGGGTGATGAATGGAGCACGATTTCAACGGCGGGAGATTGGGGAGGGGTGGGGATGAGAGGCCTTGAGAGGGGGAAGTAGAAGGAAGGTTTCAAGTGGCGGCGCGAGGGAAAGAGAGAAATGAAGAAGAGGAAATTGTATCTTTTGGGCAGTGGACAAGCAAGCACGCTGTACCTGTTGGGCAGCGGGCACGAGAGAGCCATGATGGAGGGCAGGTGCGCCATCACCCCGGCCATGAACTGCTGCCCCTCCTCTGACATGCCCTGCTGCCCTCCCTGCTGCTCTGCCTGCCCGCCTTCTCCCGCTTGCCCCGTCGCTGCAAATGCGTTGACGTAAGTGCGTCCCCCTTCCGACATCACGATAGATGCACCGGAGGAGGTTTCTGCTGCTGCTGGAGCTGCTGCTGCTGCTGCTGATGATGATGATGATGCGTCAGCCCCACCAGTGACCTCCCGCCATATGCTGACGTGGACGTGGCTGCCATTGGCTGCGTCGCGAGGGAAGACTCTGGGAGAGGGAGGGAAGGGGCATGGAGAGAGGATGGGTCAGCGAGGAACAGGTAGGACGGGGACTCTGCGGGCGTTGTTAGAGAATTCTGAAAAAAACGCCTGCACCAACGGAAGACGCCGGGAGAGGGCGAGATGGGGAATGCAGAGAGAGGATGGCAACGAACAGGCAGGATGGAGAGTCGAGGGGCGGGATGGAGAGTCGAGGGGCGGGATGGAGAGTCGAGGGGCGGGCTGACTCAACGAGAACAGGCGTGAATGTTCCGTATACCACCAACCAGAACATCCATGTGAGAGGATTGTATAAGGAGGGTTTGTGAGAGGGTGGTCATAAAAGGAGGGATCGTGAGCAGACGATTGCACGAGGAAGTGTACGAAAACTGACTGTGGAAGGAAGGTGACATGCGTGGGTGTGCTGCTCCTTTTGCTGCTCGTGCCATCCACCTCCCCACTCGCCACCCCTGCTGCTGCTGCTCTCCGCACCACCCCAGAGATTGCTTCCCGCACCAGCAGGATCCTATCAGCTGCTGCCACGTCAGCTGCATGCCCCACTGCTATCTCGAACTGCCCGCCGCCCGATTCCGGGTGGAGCTGCAAGAGGGAGAAGGAGGAGGTGAGAGTGGGAGGGAGAAAGGGAGTGAGGGAATGAGGGAATGAGGGCGGGAGGGTGCAGGAAAAAGAGGCCAATCTATAACTCGATATAAGCTAGGCTACACCGATGGTATCCCCATGGTAGCCCATATGAGCTTCAGCACTCACCCACCTGATCCACTCCACCACACACGCCATAGCTCATATGAACATCACCCCATGCATGCCACGGCCCTCTTTGCAGCACATCATGCCTTCATGGTCCCATACACGGTCCCATACACGGTCCCATACACGGTCCCATACAGGGTCCCATACAGGGTCCCATACAGGGTCCCATACAGGGTCCCATACAGGGTCCCATACATGGTCCCATACACGGTCCCATACACGGTCCCATACACGGTCCCATACACGGTCCCATACACGGTCCCATACAGGGTCCCATACAGGGTCCCATACAGGGTCCCATACAGGGTCCCATACAGGGTCCCATACAGGGTCCCATACAGGGTCCCATACAGGGTCCCATACAGGGTCCCATACACGGTCCCATACACGGTCCCATACACGGTCCCATACACGGTCCCATACACGGTCCCATACACGGTCCCATACACGGTCCCATACACGGTCCCATACACGGTCCCATACACGGTCCCATACACGGCCCCATTCACGGCCCCATTCACGGCCCCATACACGGCCCCATACACGGCCCCATACACGGCCCCATACACGGCCCCATACACGGCCCCATACACGGCCCCATACACGGCCCCATACACGGCCCCATACACGGCCCCATACACGGCCCCATACACGGCCCCATACACGGCCCCATACACGGCCCCATACACGGCCCCATACACGGCCCCATACACGGCCCCATACACGGCCCCATACACGGCCCCATACACGGCCCCATACACGGCCCCATACACGGCCCCATACACGGCCCCATACACGGCCCCATACACGGTCCCATACACGGCCCCATACACGGTCCCATACACGGTCCCATACACGGTCCCATACACGGTCCCATACACGGTCCCATACACGGTCCCATACACGGTCCCATACACGGTCCCATACACGGTCCCATACACGGTCCCATACACGGTCCCATACACGGTCCCATACACGGCCCCATACACGGCCCCATACACGGCCCCATACACGGCCCCATACACGGCCCCATACACGGCCCCATACACGGCCCCATACACGGCCCCATACACGGCCCCATACACGGCCCCATACACGGCCCCATACACGGGCCCATACACGGTCCCATACACGGTCCCATACACGGTCCCATACACGGTCCCATACACGGTCCCATACACGGTCCCATACACGGTCCCATACACGGTCCCATACACGGTCCCATACACGGTCCCATACACGGTCCCATACACGGTCCCATACACGGTCCCATACACGGTCCCATACACGGCCCCATTCACGGCCCCATTCACGGCCCCATTCACGGCCCCATACACGGCCCCATACACGGCCCCATACACGGCCCCATACACGGCCCCATACACGGCCCCATACACGGCCCCATACACGGACCCATACACGGCCCCATACACGGCCCCATACACGGCCCCATACACGGCCCCATACACGGCCCCATACACGGCCCCATACACGGCCCCATACACGGCCCCATACACGGCCCCATACACGGCCCCATACACGGCCCCATACACGGCCCCATACACGGCCCCATACACGGCCCCATACACGGCCCCATACACGGTCCCATACACGGCCCCATACACGGCCCCATACACGGCCCCATACACGGTCCCATACACGGTCCCATACACGGTCCCATACACGGTCCCATACACGGTCCCATACACGGTCCCATACACGGTCCCATACACGGTCCCATACACGGTCCCATACACGGTCCCATACACGGTCCCATACACGGTCCCATACATGGCCCTATACATGGCCCATACATGGCCCCATACATGGCCCATACATGGCCCCATACATGGCCTCATACATGGCCCATACATGGCCCCATACATGGCCCCATACATGGTCCCATACATGGCCCCATACATGGCCCCATACATAACCCCATACATGGCCCATACATGGCCCATACATGGCCCATACATGGCCCCATACATGGCCCCCCCCACCCCCCCACCTGCTCCACGGGTATGCCCATGCCGTGCAGAGCAGCCACCATGGCCCCCATCAGCTCCGCCTGCTCGTCAAACGCCAGGGCGGAGCAGTAGAGCGTGCGGTCCACAGGGACCATGCTGGGAGGGAGGGAGGGGGGGAGAGGATGGGGGGGGGGAATATATCTGTGTAGAGCGGCCGGAGCATGGGGGAGGAGCGGGGAGGAGCAGTGGGGGAGGAGTCCACGGGGACCATGCTAAGGGGGAAGAGGGGGGAAGGGGGGGGATGGGTGGCATAACGGGGAATAGCATGGGGGAGGAGCAGTGGAGTGGAGTGTGCAGTCCACGCGGACCACGCTAGGACGAGGGGTGTAGGACAGGGGAACGTTCTTGTTTTGAGACGTCTCAAAACTCGAGGGGTGTAGGACAGGAAAACGTTCCGAGACGTCAGAAAGCGGAACAGGTACTTGGGGTTGCGAGTGGGAGGGATGGGGGCCATGCAGTGGACCGTACAGCATGCAGGAGACAGGTACGAGGATGACACCAGCGCTTTTTGAGGCGCCTCATAACGAAGCGCCTTGTAAAGAGGTGTCTCAAAAGGAGGCACCTTGTATAGAGTGTCCCAGAAATGAGGCACCATGCTAAATCATGCGGTCTGCTACTCTGGGGGCTCCAGCGAGGTAAGTCAGGGGGAGGAAGCGAGGTAGGGGTGGGTGTGGGTGGAGCAGGAGTGGCTTGGAGAGACAGAGGGAGGGAGGTGCGATGATACGCCATAACGTAGAGAGAGAGGGAGGGAGGTGCAATGGTACGTACGATGGGGTCATGGAGTGGAGGAGAGTGAACTCGCTCTCAAACCCGGCTCTCAGCACCTGCACCCACACACGCACACACGCACACGCACGCACACACGCACACGCACGCACACACGCACACGCACGCACACACGCACACGCACGCACACACGCACACGCACGCACACACGCACACGCACGCACACACGCACACGCACGCACACACGCACACGCACGCACACACGCATGCACGCACGCACACACGCATGCACACACGCACACGCACGCACACACGCACACGCACGCACACACGCACACGCAGGCACACACGCACGCACACACGCACACGCACACGCACGCACACACACACACACACACACACACACACACACACACACACACACGCACACGCCCACACACACACACAAATACAGAGTGTTATGGAATGCCCTCATCACTACCATGCTTGCACACAGTGCATGCAGTGTAGCTGTTTGAGAGATGATACGACATTTTCACAGGTGGTGGCGGTGGTATGCGCCGATATTTCACCACTCGAAATTCGAGACATTCAAGCTACGAGTGTGATAGTGTACTCTCTAGTGTACAATTACCCGGACATGCGCCCTTTGGAAAAGTTTAGAATGTATGTACCGCACAAAACCTCCTCAAAGTCATTCATTCTCCTCAAAATCATGTCCTCCACTCACCAGTCCAAATTCGTCTGCTACTCTCAACGTGCTGCGCGGACAAGTTTTGAGTCGACTAACAACTTACTCTCCTCTAATTCCTGCCCTCCACTCACCAGGCCGAACCTGTCCTTGAGCGATGCTGCCACCCTCCTCAGTGTGCTGCGCGGACAGACGGCAAACGGCTGACCTGGCGCCACGTGTGCATCCACCAACGCGAGCATCTGATTGGGACACCTGGCGAGGGAAAGGAGGCGATGACGGAGTGGAAACGATGAGGTTGGTAAAGGAGGGGTGACAGAACGAGATGGTGTGACTGTTGATATATGAAAGAGTTACCCTCCACGGTGTGCCATGGCAGGGCAGGCAGGGTGATGCCAAGAGTGCTGATGCATGTGCGGATGCATGCTGAGACACTTATTACAGCTCTACTCACCACGGGAGGGACCTCAGCGTGCTGACGTCAGGCATGAGTCGCACCTCCCCCACGGCGGACAGGCCACACCCGGGGGCGGGCCCATCCACGAACGACGCGAACGCGTAGATGCACCGCGCCAGGCCTACCCCCTGCTGACACGTCAGCGTGCGGAACCGGTCCCAGGGAACCGCCTAATTGGCGGAAATCGCAAGGGGGGTTTGTTAGATTGAAGTCAGGAGGGTGGAAAAGGGCGGGAAAGACGTGACTCCTCGTGGTCCCAACAGCCACTCATTGTGTAATCGCAATTCCCAAGGAAGCTTGTATCATCTTTGAGAAGAATCAGTATGTGAAAAGAAAGGCCCCTCCATAGCAGTTGCATTTCGAATGCCTTTTTCGCACTTCGCGAAAAGGCAGGCGAGCCAGCCGCAGCTCAAACACTTCACTTGGAGAGAAGTCAGACAAACGGGACTTTACAGAATGAGGTTCAACTCACTCGCACGCGGCGCTGGCCCTGACAGGTCCGCGAAGAGCACGCGCGGTAGCGGCTGCTTGGGAGCATTCACTTAACGAGAATCCAGTCGAGCGGCTCGTCACGGATTGCGACGCCACTCACCCGCACGCGGCGCTGCCGGCGGCGGAGAGGTCCGCGAAGAGCAGGCGCGGTAGCGGCTGGGAACATAAACGTAAAGAGAATCCAGGCGAACGTCTCTTCTTGAGAAGCGACTCACCCGCACGCGGCGCTGGCCAGAGAGGTCCGCGAAGAGCAGGCGCACGAGTGCGCTGCTGGGACCTTCCACGAGCGGCGGAGGGCTCCCGGAGAGCGCGGCGAGCGGCCGCGCAGCGTCGCTTTCCTCCTGCGATACCTGCTGCTGCTGCTGCTGCTGTTGCTGGGTACTAGTAGTTGGCTGAGCCATGGCGCGAACTCCAACTGCTATGGTACTATTAGAAACGCTGGGGTCACGCGGCGTACGAAGTCCCGTTGGCTGCCGAATAAAAGAGGTGCTAGATTTCTCCGGAGGATGAAGGGCACTGGGAAAAGCAGGAGTAGTGGCAACTATGGTACGTTTCACTACAATTGTCCTTTTTTTTTTTCGCAGTTCTTTCTGCAAATGTACGTTAGCGGCTATTATTCGAAGGGTTAACAGGCACGGCTGCGCCTCTGAGAATCTCCGGTACTGGCGCAGACCGCGGGGGGGTGTTATAGGGACGCACTACTATTGGACAGCGGAACGGCGACTTGCTTCGACGAGGAAACAGCCATCCCACCTCGCTTGCAGCTCTGGCAGGAAAGCCTGAATTCCTGCAGTGGCTGGCAAGGCCCTCACTATGATGAGAAAGAGGAAAGACTCTGTGTTATGTGCGGTTCGATATGGTGGTCAGTGGTTAGATAGGCGGCAATCAGGCCGGCTGCAGGTCTGCAGGGAGGAAGTTGCAGCAGAACCCTATGTGAGAGGAAATGGAAGGAAGCCGTTGGATAGGTAGGCAACAACGCGGTGTTTTCAATCGCATTCCCGACCCTGCTTGGCGGGCCTTCGGATCGGTGGGAAGGATCTGTGTCAGACGGGAAACAGCGGTGATTGGAAGGAAACCCGCCGCGGGGGAAGCCTAGAGAATGCGGCAGCACCAAACGGGCAAGAAACTGAAGGATTGCGGGTCCCATAGGAAACGCGATTGGAAACACCGCGCTTCAACGCAGCAAGCATTCCCTTCGGCTAATTCAGCTAGCAAAGACAGCTACAAATTATGGAACTAGGGTACAACAGCATTACATGGGTGAACATGTTTTCCCTGCAGCCATTACATCCCACTGCCGGAAACACCAAGGTATTGGCCAATGATCCCTCGCACCTGTTGTATGCACAGGTGGCATAAAGCAATACGATACCACCATTAGAATCTCGCAGCACACCCCACTCGCCAAACAAACTCATTTCAGCCATGACATACAGATTTCTCCGAATAGGAATGCAACGGAATGTTTGAAACTAGAAAGTGTGAGAGTACAAATATGCAACCCTAACAACTCTACTCCCTATTGTGCTACTCACTGTAGCCTACATGCATAGAATTACATTTGACACACCCCCATAGGCTAAGTGAGGGGCATCAAAGCAAGCAAGGTGAACAAACGGTCACAAGACCAGTCAAAGCAAGAAACAAGGCAAGCTCAGGGTGGATCTCAAGGACACCACACAAATTCCGAGCGCAAGTAAGCGGCCACAAGGCCAGTTCAAGAGTTCACTAGGATATAAATAGGAAGCACAACAAGCAGAGCAAACAACAAGACTACAGCAACCGAGGGCCTACCTCAACAAGCCCCAACTGCACACAGAACCTGTGGTGATCACCAAGCGCCAAGGCCTTGGTGAAGACGTCTGCAGTGTTGGCCTCTGAGGCCACAAAGTCCAGGCGTGCCTGGCCGCGTCGCTGCAGCTCTCGCAGGAGGAAGTACCTCACGTCAATATGCTTCACTCTACTCTCCAGTCGAGGCTCTCGACACAGGAGGATCATGGCCTTGTTGTCAGCGTACAAGGTCGGTGCAGAGCGAGGCCGCTCACCAAGGTCGGCGAGCAAGAAGGTCAACCAGCGAAGCTCCTGTGCCGCCATGGCACCAGCGTAGATCTCTGCCTCTGCACTGGAAGTAGCCACAGACGACGACCGTGTAGACCTCCACGACACAGCACCAGCTCCCAGACTGAAGCAGTAACCCTGAGTCGAGCGCTGAGTCTCCACGTCGTCAGCGTAGGAAGAGTCGCAGTGACCAGTCAACGCCACTGGCTGAGTCCCTCCAAGCACAAGCCCCATGCCTGATGTAGTCGCCAGGTACTTCGCCACCCTCACAGCAGCTGTCCAGTGGACAGGACGGTGTCTCCCAGTCGCAACAAAGCGAGAGAGGATGCTGAGGGGAAAGGCGAGGTCCGGCCGAGTACAAGTCATCAGGTACATGAGGCAGCCCACAAGCTCTGCGTAGGGACCACTGGGCTCAAAAGGCTCGTCAGGAAAGGGGCCAGTGAGTCGGTGGTCAACAGCAAGAGGAGTGGGCTGTGTGGTGGAGAACTGGAAGTCGAACCTTCGAAGGACCTGCTGCACCATGTGTGACTGCGTCAGTGTGATGGTGCGAGCGGCTCTGTCCCTGGTGATCTGCAGGCCAAGGTAGCACTGCAGCTCACCCAGGTCAGTGCACTTGTGTCTCTTCTGCAGTTCGGACTTCACCTGAGCCAGGGCTGCCCTGTCTGCTGTAGCAAACACCAAGTCGTCGACGTAGACAAGGATAAAGAAAGGAGTAGAACCCGCTCGAACAAACAGCAACGGGTCGGCGGAGGACGGGCTGAACCCAAGGTCACGAAGCGTGGAGCGAAGAGTGTCGTGCCACTCACGGGGCGACTGGCGGAGACCGTAGACTGGTCGCCTCAGGCTCCACTGGGTCCCAGGTGGGAAGGTGTCAGTGAAGCCAGGAGGACGGCGCAGCCAGATCGCCTCGTGCAGTCGGCCCTGGAGGAACGCAGTGGAGAAGTCGAGGGAGTGCAGCTCGTAGTCTTGCTGCGCTGCTATGTGGAGTAACACCCGAAGAGTAGTCATCTTCGGGGTCGGGGCGAAGGTCTGGAAGAAGTCAACTCCCTCACGCTGACTGAAGCCCCTAGCCACGTAGCGCGCCTTGAACACCGGCGGTGCTCCAGGCGGCCGCTTCACCTTGAAGAGCCACATGCCATCGACTACGTTCGCCCTGGGAGGGGCAACTGCGTCGACGTAGGTGCCTGTGGATCTCCAAGACGCCAACTCTGAGTCCATAGCCGCTTTCCACTGAGAGGCCCACGCCCCTGACACTGCCTCGCGGTAAGTGCGAGGAGTCGGTATGTCAAGGGCGTCGGGGTCTCCCTCAGGGGAGAGCAGCATGGCACACACAGAGGGAGAAGCGGCTGCCCAGTACTCCAGCTCAGACTCTCTGTCCTCTAGGACGTCACAGCCAAGGGCAAACCCACCCCCGACGGACAGAGGACGGTAGGGAGGAGCTGGCACCACACGGGTGGCGTAGTCAAGGCGGCTGGCGGCAGCAAACTCAGCGACAGCGGCAGTAAGAGCCGAGACAGACGACGGAGGGAAACGAGAGTCGGTGACAAGAGTGGCTAGGACACGTGCGGCAACAGGACAAACAGCGCGGTAGTAGTCAGAAATAGGAGTGGGGAGGGCTGGGAGAGAGGACGGAGGAGGAGACGGGAGAACGGACACAGGAGAACGACGACGAGACGAACAAAGGAGGGCTGTGTGAAGGTCAGTAACAGGGGACGAGTGACGGGCACGTGGAGGACAACGAGTGATCAAGTCGTGACGGACAGAAGGAGGAGGAGACTGAAGAGGAGGAGAAGACCAGACCGCCGGACGGTCGTCAGGAGGAGGCAACGGAGGGACAAACACAGGAGGAGACTGGGAGCGGACAGGAGGAGAGGAGGAAAGGCCAAGGGCCCGCAGGCCACTCACAGGTGGGAACAACTGCCGCTCCAGAGGAAGCTGCGGTGGCGGCTGCGGCCGCTGCTGCTGCGGCGGCGGCTGCGGCTGCTGCTGCTGCTGCGGCTGCGACTGCGGCTGCGGCTGCTGCTGCTGCGGCTGCGGCTGCTGCTACTGCTGCTGCTGCTGCTGCTGCTGCTGCTGCTGCTGCTGCTGCTGCTGCTGCTGCTGCTGCTGCTGCTGCTGCTGCTGCTGCTGCTGCTGCTGCTGCTGCTGCTGCCGCTGCTGCTCAAGAAGGTCCAGCACCCGCAGCTCCTGCCGCTCCCTCTCCAACCGCTCCTGCTCCTCACGCTCACGCCGACGGGCAGCCTGGAGACGCGTGTCGTGGCGGTGGGGAGGCGGAGTGGACTCCGCAGAACCAGGGTCTCCAGCGTCAGTCTCCTCAGACTCAGCACCCCCAGAACCAGCACCTCCAGTGCCAGGACCTCCAACTCCAGCACCCCCAGAACTAGCACCGCCAGTGCCAGCACCTCCAACTCCAGCACCCCCAGAACTAGCACCTCCAGTGCCAGTACCTCCAGCTCCAGCACCTCCAGAGCTAGCCCCACCTGCGCCAGCACCTCCAGCTCCAGCACCCCCAGAGCTAGTGCCACCTGCGCCAGCACCTCCAGCTCCAGCACCCCGCGACCGAGCACCCCCAGACCGAGCACCGCCAGCGGCTGCACCTCCAGCTCCAACACCAACCGAGTCCACAGTAACCTGTCGCGGAAGTGCCGAAGGCTGCTGAGGGGACTGTGAGGAGGACTGCGGGGAGGGAGACGCTACCTGACGCGCGACCGAGGGTAGAGGGGTAGCGTGGGACACACCAGACGGGGCAGGACCAGGGGGGGGCGGGGGTACCGGAGGAGCGGGAGCAGGAGGAGGAGAGGGCGCGAGGAAAAGAGGGGGAGGGGGTACCTGGAGACCTCGACAGGGGTACCGGGTGTAGTAGGACACGGACTCGTCGAACCTGACGTCACGGGAGTCGAGGAACTGGTGGAGGGGCGGGTGGTAAAAGGACCAGTCAGCAGAGTCGACCGGGAAACCAAGGAAGACACAGTCGACGGCGCGTGCCGAGAGCTTGTCCGCAGAGGTGTCGCGGACTTGCGCAAGGCAGCCCCAGACTCGAAAGGCCGACCCAACACCAGGGGAACTAGTCCAAAGACTGGTCGGTGAAACCTCGGGCCGCGAGACACGCGACTGGAGGTTCAGCTGGTGTGCGGCGTAGCGAACCGCGTGGGGCCACAGAAAATGGGGCGCACGGGCATGGATCATGGACGTGCGGGCGATGTCCATGACCAAGCCTATGCGGCGCTCAGCAACCCCATTCTGCTGTGGGGACTCTGGCAGCGTCCAGGACTGGGTGATGCCCTGTTCGCCGCAGAATCCGCCGAGAATGTCGGAGCGAAACTCGCCCCCACGGTCGGAGTGG